CAATTAGCAAAGTGATGTGAACAGTTTGCAAAGCTGAAAGTACATGCTTGCTACAAGGTATCTGAGAGATGTCCAATCTTATTATATTAAAGTCAAAATAAAATGTCTAGTTCCTTTCATATAAGCAAGGGCATAATAAAATGGTTCTTTCCTGTACCATTAATGGAAGCTATAAATTGGTATAGCTTTCTAAACATTAACACTCGTTCTGCTTCAAGTCTGGGAGGTATAATTAAAAACATAGATAAAGATCTATACATAAAAATCTTTATAATGGCTATGATCACAGAAGAAAGAAACAAGGCCCGGCATTAAGGAACAGCATCCATTTCACCATTAAAAGTTATATTCACAGGGAAGTCGTCTGCCACATAGCAAACAAAAGCTTATAGTCTGCAAAAACTGTGTGTCTGACATGTTCCTCTTTGAGGAAAGCCAGGAAGGTAGAAAGGAAAAGTATTATCAAAATGCAATTGTTGTCTCTCTGGGTTCTGACAACAGAGTGATTTTTCCCCCATTTTATATTCTATGAAGTTAATGAATCTTACATGAGACTGTCTTCATTAATAGTTGTCAATGCCATAAAAGAATGAGCCAGAGAACTGGACATGCAAAGCCTGCAAGATACAGTTCTTGTCTCAGGTTATTTATAATCTAGTTCTTGATTGTATGTTGTGATTGTTTAATAATAATTATCATTTAATTAGGGCATATAAAATAAAATAGCAGTCTCTGTATTCTTCAACTGTGCTCTTTTCCTCACACCAACTTCTTCCCAAGCCAGAATTAACTTATCAGAGTCATCAGCCAGACTTAACCCTATCAGACAACTTCAAAAAAAATTCTAGCTTTCAGGAAAATTGCATATATTTTCTATGTTTTATATATATATATATATATATATATATATATATATATATATATGAGACAGTTTTCAGAACCTTGAAGTAGGATACTAGGTAAAGATTTATAAACAGAGATATAAAAGTGCTATCGTTGAAAAAAATAATAAACTCTGAGAAATCTTTACATAAAGCCATACTGTTAAAAGAGGAAGGGATGAGCCTCTGAGGAGAAAACTCTTGCATTTCTCTTGTAAGAATTGCATATAGAATTGTCACACAGTGATAAAAGAAAGTCAGACAATCCTACATGACATTAGGGCCCACTCATCTCAGTCCAGATGGATGGACACTCAGTTATAACTTCAGGATGCATACACATACACTTATATGGATGGACATAATGTATATATCTTATATATGTACATAAGATATTCTATCTAAAATGGAACTATCTCTGGCTTCCTCCATTGTTATAGCAAATCTAAAATTACTGCAATAGCCATTTAGTTCCATTTCATCCTTACATGTTTATTGTCTTCTCCTTTTCCCAAAATTACAGTTATTTCAACAGAAACTATATCATGTGTGTCTTTGACTGCCAAAGCAGTAGTAGCTTACCATGTCAATCAGAGTAGAATCCTCTAGGGAGCCATATGTTTGACAGCTGAAATGGCACACCATCCTCACCTGTAAAATGTCCCCTTATACTGCTTTTTCTTTATTGCTTATTCTCCATTTACCCGGCTCTGCATTTTAGAATTTGCCCCTTGACTAACAACATGAAAGCTAAGTGGGAGCCTCTACTTTTTAGATCTGCCTTAAACCCCGCACATCAACTTGAGAACCTGGTATAGGGTAGGCAATCACGGTGGATGAATATTTTGCCACCAAGAACAGAAAAAAAGAGTATATATTATCAGCCTTCCCTTCTCGAGTACAAAACTAGAGGAATGAGTCACAATAGGAAACTAAAAAGATGAAATTACTTAATGTTACTCAGGCATACTGTCCAAGTCTTCTCTTCTTGCCCTTTTCTCCTCTCTTTTCCAAATGTCAACCTGCATGTGCACAAATGCTCACAAAGGCGCACACACAAGGGTTGTCCAGTAGGACAGTTCCCTAAGTCAGGAACTCTTATCTTCCTTCTATCTTTTAGTCCTTTGACTCTCATTACAATAATAAAATGTCTCTTAATTTATATGCAGAAATATATAAAATAATAGATGATTTGAAAGTTATATAATACGCAAATTCACATTGCATAACTGTAGAGATTATGTAATCCCATTGACTCACAATTAAATGAATATGGCGGATGGTGGCATTCAAGTAAAAGTTGATGATATAGAAATTATGCCCTTTCACTTGAGCCTTGCTTTGTCATCATATGTCCTTTTTCCTTAGAGACAGAGCCTCACTATGTAACCCTGGCTGTCCTGGAACTCCCTATGTAGATTCAGATCACCTCAAACTTACAGATCTGTCTGCCACTGCCTCCAGAATTCTGGGAATAAAAGTATGCACCATGCTTGGCCCTCAGATTTTTTTATATACCATGATACTTGATAAATTATTATTTTGCTTTCTGGAATATATACATATGTACATACATATTATTTGGAATCCTTTAAGGTTAGTTCCTTCAGTATAAAAAGGTTTTTCTTTTTTCAAACAAAATGGGACAGGCTTTTAGGTCTGACCTGCATTTCAAAGACCAAAAGCTTGACATCCTAAAGGTGACAGTTTTGATAAGTGAGTCTGTTGAAAATTAGATTGTTTCGGTCAGAAGTCTTAGCTCCCATGCCCCATCAGACATGGGTGTTTATGGCTGGTTGTCTTCTCTTTGTATGCCAATTACCTATTCAAAAGACTACCCAAGGGGATTTGCCACTTGACAGATTGTTTAAAATTTAGCTACATGTGAAAATATGGTAGAGGTGAGATTCAATTAGGCTGTCAATCCACTTGACCCCTTTAGCTTTAGTTTTAAAAAATCCTTCAGACCTTTATAGGTTCTCAATAGTTCACAATTTTGTTTGTTTGATTGATTGTTTGTTTTCATTTTTCTTAATTAAAAGATTGTTTGTTCGTGCTTTTAATTCCACAATTGGGAAATTTAAGAAAATGATCTTAATTTCTGGAATTTACAACACGCACCTCTTCTCTTTCGGAAAAAAAATAAGCTTAGTTTGATGTCAAGCCATAGCTTGAAAAGTGAATCACATAAATAAAAATAAGAACCCCTCATTCTCAGATTTTAATGGGGCCATTGTCAGATGAACATCTGTTAATTAAGCAGGTAAAACTTTTTAGTAAGAAAGAAAATGATGTCTGAAAGAAATAATAAGCTTTTACTTATGGATTTTTCTTTTTTATTGTTTTTATTGTGCTATACATTTTTCTCCACTCCTCTCCCTTCCTTCCCATTCCCCTTCTACCTTTTCCCATGTTCCCCATGTTCCTGATTTACTCAGGAGATCTTGTCTTTTTCTACATCCTATTTAGATCCATGTAAGTTTCTCTTAGGGTCCTCTTTGTTGTCCAGGTTCTCTGGAGTTGTGGATTGTAGGCTGGTTTTTCTTTGCTTTATGTCTAAAAGACACTTATGAGAGTACGTATTATATTTGTCTCCCTGAGTCTGGGTTACCTCACTCAATATGGTTATTTCTTAGATCCATCCATTTGCCTGCAAATTTCAAGATGTTATTTTTTTTTATTTCTGAGTAGTGCTCCATTGTGTGTGTAAATCTACCACATTTTCTTTGTCCATTCTTTGGTTATGGGGCATCTGGGCTGTTTCCAGGCACTGGCTATTACAAATAATGCTGCTATGAATACGGTTGAGCACATGTCCCTGTGGTATGAATAAGCTTCTTTTGGGTATTTACCCAACATAGTAAAAATGGCAATTTTACCAAGTAATCTGCAGGTTTAGAGAAATTCCCAGCAAAATTCTTCAAAGACCTTTAAAGAACAATACTCAATTTCATTTGGAAAAACAAAAAATCCAGGATAGCCAAAGCAATCTTACACAGTAAAGGAACTTCTGGAGGCATCACCACCCATGACTTTAAACTCTACTATAGAACTACAGTAATGAAAACAGCCTGGTATTGGCATAAAAACAGACAGAAGGACCAATGGAATTGAACTGAAGACCTGGATATCAATCCACATACCTATGAACAGCTGATTTTTGACAAAGAAACAAAAAAATATAAAATGGAAAAAAGAAAGCATATTCAACAAGTGGTGCTGGCATCACTAGATATCAACCTGTAGAAGAATGCAAATAAGTCCATGTCTATCACAATGCTCAAAACTCAAGTCCAAATGGATGAAAGACCTGAACATAAAACCAACCACACTGAACCTCGCAGAAAAGAAAGTGGGAAGTACACTTGATTACACTGGCACAGGAGACCACTTCCAAAATATAACCCCAGTAGCACAGACACTGAGAGCAACAATTAATAAATGAGACCTCCTGAAACTGAGAAGCTTCTGTAAAGTAAAGGACATGGTCAACAAACTTTTATTTTTGAGTGTAAAATAACCATATATGTCTGAGAAGAAAGCAGTGTTGGGAGTTTGTTCTGAAATCACAGTCAGCAGGAACAGGTCAAGGGAATAAACTGTAGAACTACTACAGTTCTATAATGGGAAGGTGACAGACTAGCAAATAAATGGCTTAGGCATATTGAAGGGGCTACAGCCTCCTCACCTATAACATGGGAATAATACTCAACCTTAAATATTATTATTATACTTACGTGAAATGTTACGATAATAATTAGCAAAAGCATCCAACTCATAGTTAAGTAGCAAGTTTATAAAATCTATAATGTTGCCAGACAGTCCATGGCCAGCAAATAGGATATGAAACTAGAGAAACAACTGAGAACCAGATTTTGAGAGACTTGATTGGGAGTCTAATGAACTCAAACCTTCATCTTACTAAATGCAATTGTGCCAGCATTAGTAAACATTCTGGAAAAAAATAAAACAAAGAGCATCTTACGTTACCTTTGAGAATTCATGGTGAGCAAGACAGGACTGCAGGGCAGACTTGGGGCTTGTGTGAAGGAACTTTGGATTGATGACTAAAGGGAAAGATTATATATTTGAGTTTGTGTTTTGTTTTTTCTTCCACAGTAATTAGTGAATTCCAAAGGCAGCAATTGGCATCTGTGAGCTATTCCTCCCGCTATGCTCTGGGTCTCTTTTATGAAGCAGGCATGAAGATTGACGTCCCTTGGGCTGCCCAGTACATCGCCAGTAATCCCTGTATACGCTTCATCTCCATTGATAATAAGAAGCGCAATATAGGTCAGTACTCCCGTTATTTCCGTTGAACACAGTAATGATGGTGGGTGTAGGTTGAGAAAAATGTTGTTTAATTGAGTGTTGCCATTCTGAACAGAGCAAGTGTTTAACTCCAAGCCACAGGGGATAAAACATAATGTCACATTTGCTCAGTCATGAAGTACACAGTGAAACCAGAAAGGTTTTCCAGAAAATCTTTTACCACGTGGTTTGTTTTATTGAGTTCATAAAAATACTGTCAGAAGGTCTAGGATTGCAAAATGGCCTGGGTTCTCTTGCTTTAATTTGTATATGTGTATATGCAACATTTCTCTCTTTGTCTGTTTTTGGAGAGATTCCAGTGGGTTATTTTGTTTAGGCTTTTTAAATTTGGTAATTGGTGACCTTTCACTTGCCCAGCTATATTAAAAGGGAAATTTTACCATGCTATAAAAATCCATCAATTCTGTAATATTTTGATGTCTATGTACATTTCATCTTTTTTAAATGGAGTAAAATTGGTTCATATACAATATAACTAGCGTGCCCGGCAAATGTCTCATGAGAACCTTTCTAGGATTCAGTGAACTCCACACTCTACCTTTTGGTTAAAGATAGTTCTAAAACTTAAATTTGATTTGTAAGACCATGTGTTGTAGAGGCATGATCTTTTAGAGTTTCAGGTCTGCACAGCACGTTCTGGGCCAGCCAGAGGTACAGAGTAAGTCAGGGAAAACACACACATACATGCTGCACACACACACACACACACACACACACACACACACACACGGAAGGAAAGAAGTGAGGAGGGAGGGGAGAAAAAGAAAGGAAGGAAGGAAAGAAGGAAGAAAAGTTGAATCACAAGGAAAAGGTAACTGATTTCAGAGAAAAGTGTGTGTATTCATATCCATAGCATTGTGGTAATGTCTAAGGTAATGTTTTCCATAAATAACCTGTGATTATCTAAGGTGATAGACCTCAACAAAAGGAATCATGGTTGAATTTGTTACAGCACTTCACTGTACAGCAACGCTCTCAGTGGCCCCTTAGTTGGAAATTTTGCCTGATAAAATCACCAACTCATGTCTCTTGGCTTGTCAGAAGTTCATGATAGGCCTCAGCTGGAGTGTTTTCTCTATCAGAGCACACAGTCCCAGAAAAGATGTTTCTCTTATAACTTGAAACTCCCCAAGGGCTGTGCTGCTTATGTTAGCATAAGACCACATCTCTATGTGATCAGCAGTTAGGAACTGCCTGTAACAGCAATGGGCATTAGCTGTGAGGTATAGCCATACCAACTCTACACCCGTGTGTTCTGGGGAAAGGCAAATAATCCCTGATCTTCTCAAGTTATATATCATGACTTAGACATTATCTTTGTGTGTTACTTTATAAAATAGGATATCTATGAGGATATATAATCAGCTGTATGTAACAAAAACATGTTTAAACAACATAAGATAATTTGTATGATTTACTATGGACAAATGACACATTTCCTACATTGATGTGTTGGTGACATAGGGAGTCTCTCAGTGGTAGAACATTTGTCTAATATATACAAAGATGTAGGTCCAACCCTCGCACAAAATAAAAAGGAGAAAGAATTCATAAGTAAAGCCTATGCTGCTCAGTGTTTTTATCACCATGGCAAATACCTGAGTGATATGAGATTCCCCTCTGTATACTCTGTATACCATTGGTTAACAAAGAAGCTGCTATGGGCCTATTGCAATGCAGAATAGGGCAAGGTGGGAATCCCAAGCAGATAGAGGAGGAGAGAGTAGGCCAAGTCAGGCTGAAGCCACATAGTTGCCCAAGGAGACAGACGCCGGATGCTGGATAGAGCCTTACTGGTAGGCCACAACCATATGGTGATACAGATTAAAAGAAATAAGTTAATTTAAGACATAAGAGCTAGCCAATAAGAAGCATGAGCTAATAGGCCAAGCAGTGTTATAATAATACAGTTTTTGTGTGATTATTTTGGGTCTGAGTAGCCAAGAACGAATGAGCATTCTCCATCAAAACCTGAGAGATCAACTTAAAAGGAAGAAAACTTGGCTGATGATTCCTAAGGTGTCAGTCCATGGTCTAGTACCACTGCTCTGGGCTTGTACTGAAGCAGATCATCATAGTGTGTGTTCTTTCTTGTGCCAGTTCTAGATGCTAATTGTGTGTGTGTGTGTATGTGTGTGTGTGTGTGTGTGTTTAGAGGGAGTCTCAATATATAACCCCAGATGTCTTAGAACTCTCTATGTAGACCAGGCTAACATGGAACTCCATAGATATCATCCTGACTCTGCCTCCAGAGTGCTGGAATTAAAGGCTATGCCACCATACCCAAGCTATATTCCAATTTTTTATATGTATGCATTTGTGTAGTAGTGATTGGGGATATAGGATATGAAACTAGAAAGGGAACCATGAGACAGAAAAAAAATACAGGATTTAATAAGGAGGAGACATGGAAAGAGTCATACAGCATGAGACATGAAAGTAGGAACTACCAGAAACAGAATAGTACAAGTAAGAAAGAAAGAAAGGAAGAAAGAAAGAAAGAGAGAAGGAGAGAAAATAAAAGAAAAGAAAAGAAAAAGAAAATAAACCAGGGAAAGGAGCTAGAAGGGATGGAGATAAAAAAACATACAAACATACAAAATACGTATGAAAATGTCATATGGATACCTCTTACTTTGTATGATAGTTCTTAAAAAGAGTGTATGGCAGAGCAAAAGTATCCACCTCATAAGGGCAAGATGCTGAAGTAAGGAATGCAGCACTGGCTGGCTCCTTCATCCTTTCTCTTTTACTTCTCCTGGTTATCTGGCCTATGTCTCCTGCCACTCTGTAACTCATCTTCAGAAGCATCCTTACAGACATATCCACAGGTGTTCTACATTAATCCCTGGGTCAATTCTCATTCCAATAAAATTGGTAGTAGGTATTAATCATTACAAAGCACAGGGATTTCTATTTGGAGATTCAGTTCAGGTACTAATGATTACATGGAGTCCTAAGGGTGGTATCCTAGCCCAATAGGATAATGGCCTTCGGAAAGCAAAACAGAAACTCTTCCCTTCTCTCTGTGATACTTTTAAGTACTAAGGGGAAAACTTATGGCAGTGACAAAGCAAGACAGCAGGCACCAGCAGATTGGAAAGCAAGCCCTCACCAGGAATCAAATCAACCAATAACTGGATTGTAGGGTTCTCAGGCTCCAAAACTGAGCAAACTCCATTTATGTGATTTACTCAGTCTCCTTAAGGTCTCACATCCATCCTTTTTATCTCCAAGTTCCAGGGATCAAAGCTAGGGTCTTGCACATTCGGAGCATAGCAACACACTTAGGAATAATCAGTACAGCCTCTGCTCCTTCCAGAGAATCTGTCCAGTTCTTTAATGTACCCATTGCATATTGGGTCAGAATTGCTATGTGTACCAATTCCAAACCGTGTGTGATAGCTTATCAATCGATAAGAATATCATAAGTCTGAAGTAGGGAGAGTATCATATGCCAAAATCAAATATACTCCTGGAGCTGGTATCACAGTCATGTTTGCCATTAGAAGGATCACTACCTGAATAAAGTAAGGTTCTGTTATAGAGAAAAGAAGAAGGCATGCTGATGGCTATGTGGCCCTCACTACTTCCTTCCATCTTTAAGCAGAGTTGCATCTTATGTGGGAGGTAAAGTTCTAAATTTATCGTAAAGGAAATGGATCACATATATTCAGAATTACCTTTTAAAACTCATAAAAATACATGATAGTTTTGAGAATGGCAAAAATCAGTAAACTTCATTGTGGTGGGTTGAAAGAAAATGGCTCCCAAAGGGAATGGTGCTATTAGGAGATTTTGGAGTAGTAGTGACTTTGTTGGGGGAAATGTGTCACTGTGGGGTTAGACTTTGACATCTCCTGTGCTCAAGCTACACACAGTGACACAGTTCACTTTCTGTCACCTGTGCATCAAGAGGTAGAACTTTCAGCTCCTTTTCCAGCACCGCTCCTGACTGCATGTCCCCTACAATAAAGATAATGGACTAAATCTCTTAACTATAAGCCATCTCAATTAAATGTTTTCCTTCATGAGTTGCCATGGTCATGGGTGTCTCTTCACAGCAACAGAAACTCTAAGATACAACCTTTTTGTACCATTTCAGTAGATTTATGTTTCCTCGAGTGAGATTGGATTAAATAGCTGGGTTGCATGTAGAGGACAGGGGGTGTTTTCTCCTGGGAAAGTCACCCAAGAAGAAGAGGAAGAACCTATCTCTGAACAGATTAAGTTTTCTCTACAAATGAGGTGGGAGGGTGTTTGAAAGCACCCACACAACACCGAAGTGATCATTTATAAAACTGAATGGGTCTGAGAAAGCAAAACATAATATCAAGAATCTCTCATGGTTGTCAATTTTTGCAATAATAAGTTTCTCTTAATATCAGCCACCGCACAATTTTAAAGCCAAGGTACCAGAGAAGTTAGAAATCATATTTGTTATGTACCTGTTGTGGTGGTGTTCCAAGTTGCCAAGGAATACCTGCCTTCTTTTGTCAACTACACGGAAACTTATCTTCTCTGGTGTGTGCATTAACTTGTATAAAGCCTATAGTAACAACTTTTCTTAACAAAGACTCTAACCACCTTCACTTCAGCTGTTTTATTTTTTTATCAGGACCCAGAGTACTAAGTGTGCCAAGCTGACTTAACACAATATAAATGCTTTTATAGTGTAATCCCATGTGTTTTAGCATATTAACATTTAACTAGTGGAGTAAGAGATATGTGTTGTCGTAGTTGTTTCTCTAACACCACACTGTATCTGGCCTTTGGTGGGTTTTCCTGAGTGAAGGAGTAGAACACAAATAATGGAGGAGATATGTGTGTTCTGTCAGGGTAGAGCAATGTAAATGTAAACAGGATACACAAACTTACCAGAATTGAGAACAAAATGCAGTAAGTCTCCAGGGACAGAAGATTAAAAAAATGCCCCAAACCTATAAGGTTAGGGCATATTC